TGTCGAGTTTTGGGGACTTGGCGGGAAGCCAGCTCGAAACTTGTACACCAGGCCACCATGTGAACATCTTTTTCTCACTCACTGAGTCTGCTCACAACTGACTGTCTGTACCAGCCAATGTACATACACAAACACATCCTCACACTCAGTACAGTACTGGATACATAGACCACATTTCCTTATCCTGGTTGTTAACCATAATCTCTCTCTCTCTTCAAGTTTTGAAGGGCAGAGTAGGAAAATCAGAGGGTTTGTCCCAGTATAGTCTGAATAGCAGCGGCAATCACATTTCTTCAGAGAAGACCTTCCCCGGAGTGCTCCTGAAATGGCTCATGGAGGAACTGTGTGAAGATGGACAGGGTGAGCCTACAGGACATGCTGTGTGCACATTTTCTGTTGTCTCTGTTCCCATTTCTCTGATATGCTACAGTTTATGGGAACTCATTGGTACTACCCAGGGAGCTTCATGTTCCTGCAGAGACAAAATCTAAATTAACATTTTAATGACAATAGTTTTGCTCCTCTTTTGGTATAAAGTTTCTGGTACTTTCTTTACAAGTCTTTCTACCAAGAGCTGCTGTCAGAAATACCATATATTGTAGATTCTCCCTTTGGCCTGGAGAACACTTTCCAGACACCAATTGTTCACAATCAGAGGGAGGAATTCAGCTTTTCAATCCATTTGCAAGGATCAGGCAGGGGAAGACCTTCCTGATCTTTTCTTTCTTGGCAAATACCAATGTTTTTTTCTGAGGGTTGATCCTTTGCTCTTCTTTTGAAACATCAGAGGAAGCCAAGACAGAAGACATGGGGAATGTTCCTTCTAGATGTTCTGCATGAAATGGGAAGTTGACCTGGGAACAGCAGCATTGCACTTACTTAACACAGTTCCTTCTCCAGCCTCATGGACAGCAGTTTGGACGTCATCTCATGTGCCTAGTCACATCATGTGTCAAATCCACACCCCCCCAATCCTGTCACATCCCACAGGGTCTCCTCACAGGGGTTGAATGTGGGAGGACAAAAAGTGTCTTTGCAGCCTTCCAGGTCCTCCCAGCACTCTCCACTGGGCAGGTGCACTGGGAGATGGAGAGAGCCCAGGTATGTGCCAGTGGAAGTACAGATATGCATGGTGCCACAGCAAGGGAGCAGGAAGCTGAGGGGACAAGTGGTCACTGTAGCCTTCAAACCTCTCTCCACACACAGGAAATACACATTTGAGAGTGTGGACTGGTCACTTATTTGGCACATGAGCATAAAATGCCACAAGGCAACTGGAATGAGTCACAGTGGGAGCTAATGGTCCCCTCTCTCCACCCACAGGAACTACATGTGAGTTCTGTCCTCCCAGGTGGCAGCTGCACAGGTGCAGATGTTACTACTTCTCTAAGGAGGCTAGAAGCTGGGATGACAGCTAGAAAAAGTGTCTGGCCAGGAAATCCCAGCTTCTTGTCATTGAAGATGAAATTGAGATGGTGAGTCTTGCAGTAGCCCTGAAAACACAACAGGCATCTGCCTTAGCCAAACATTTCTCCAAGAGAAAAGGTATCAGATGTCAGGTACACATGCAAGAACCCCATCAAGGGCAAAGCATCTGTCTCCCCATCAACAGGAACCTGTTTTGGGAGTGTCAACAGAGTAGAGTTGAAGAGGAGAAGCACAAGAGATGCCAAGCATGGAAGCCAGAGTAGTTTTGACTGGGAGAAGGAAATGCTGAGGACTTTTCACACATTTCTATTGCTTGGCTCTGGGACGAGAGGTCTGATTCAGCCACTAAATAGAAATTCAACAGCCAAACCTCCTTCTCCTTTTCCTTTAGGAAAAGAATAGCAAGGTACTACCAAATGGTTCTGAGAAACTCATGATTCCCTGAGGAACAGGTCTTTTACCTTAAAGACCAAGATTTGCAATCTGGTCTTATTGGGGTGAAGGGCATCACTACATTTTTGTCTGCTGTTTGGCAGCTGTCAGGAAGCTCATCAGCCTGAATTAAAACTGTGGCTGATCACTAGTGTATGGGCTGTTGTAATGGGTTGCTTTCCAATGGCTGGATGCCTGCTCTTGCTCTCCATGTGACGGACTAAAAGCTGTGCCTGAGACAGGACAGTGACCTGGACACAGCAGGAAAGCTCTTCTGTAAGTTAACATGCTTCTACTCTTTCCACAGGAATTTATAGACAATAAAGAGAAAGATCCCAAATATATCTGGATTGTGTTGAAGACTCAAGACAAGAAGAAACAATGGAGTTCAGTTGGAGATCATGGAGTAAAAGTAAACAGGTGATGATTTGTGTGTGGGGGGGTGTCTTTGGCAATAGCAAAGGTATGGTATCTCTGCTTGGAAATACAACTCTGGATCTGAGCTAATTTCCCAAAGCACAGATCTAATCCTGCAGCCTCAGGCACGTATTCAGAGTCTATTCCACAGCCAGCCCCAGGTTAGCCGGTTCCTGCCAGGCACTTTTGGAAACATATGTTTTCTGCTTCCAAGACTGACCCCAGCCACAGTTCATGTATATATTAATGCTGAGAGACATTATTACACACTTCTTCTACTGAAATCACTGTCAACAAACTCTCTCATTTTACAGACCATGTGCTGCCTGCCTCCTGAACGTGATGCCTGTCCCATAGCGTGGGTGCTGGGATCTGTGCAGCCGAAGGGTCCTTCAGCATTGTGGCTGCATGTGGAGCTTTACTCCTCCTTCTTACCCTCATGCTCCCAAGTATCCATCCCTCAGCATCCAGCAGACCCTGCTGGGACTGCCTATCCCACCTGTTCCTGGCTGCTGTGCTTCAAGCTGGTTACCAGAAGGGCATCACCTGACCCCCTCCCTCAGGACTCCACCAGTATTTTTGACCAGAATTTTTAATTTAGTACTGAATCTAAAACTGACAACTCATTGCATTCCTTTTGCTCCCTCAGCAGGAGAGCTCTAAAGAGAATTGAGACCAACAAGAACTGTGCTGTTTACAGAAGGAAAAATGTGATCCAAGCAGACAACTGTCAGACATTGAAAAAGTGGATCTGTAAGAAGAACGCAACTTTGCTGGAGCTCTGAGCCAAATTTCCAGACAACAGGCAGTTTTCTGTCAGAAGACCCATTTTACTGACAAACCAACTTGCAATGTAAATAATTTTAATGAGACTTGTGTGGAATATTGCTGTTTTGTGCTCCCTAAGAAGTCAGAAGTTGCCAGGTGTCAGCGGTGACAGGTCACAGGACTGCAAGTTGGCACCTGTAGATTTGGGGGTGCTGAGCCTTCATATGGACAGACTTTGGAAGCAGCTGCCTCTAGGAAAGGGCAGAGAGGAAGGATGAAGATGAGCACTGTGCAGGTGAGCTGTGTGATGTGCAGGAAAAGTGGCATCTGCAGGGGCTGAAGAGTGTGCTGGAGCCCACTGCTGTCATACACGTCCCTCAGGCAGCTGCTGAGCTCAGGACTTGTTATTTGGGTTTCAGCATTTTAGTGTTTTCTGAAGTTTGGGTGGTTTTTTTTCCTTAGAGCCTAACTGTGACTCACAGAAGCCAATCAAGGGCTGGAAAAAATACATTTATTGGACAGTATCTTATTAAGAGCTGCTACCCAGCTTCTGTGTGTAGATACCAGACCAAACATGAAGTGACTTGAAAAACTTGTGGTTAATAAGCTGATTGCTCCCATCTTCTGATGTTGAACCTTGGAACCTGAAAGCAAACTCTTACCTAGGGAAGGGGCTTAGATTTTAAGACTACTTTGTAAAGCAAAGAAATAAAGAGGATAACCTGCCTCTTCACCTATATTTTGTCCCTTTACATTGCAAATTCTTTAACGTGGAACCACAGTTTCTGCCTTGAAGGTACGATGAGGTGGTGAAATTAATGCCTGTGAATGCACTCAGTAAATACATTACTTAGGTATTGAATGGATAAACACTATTTCTAGGTCTAGAATACAAAAATGCTATGAGCAGTCTGACTTAGTGCCTTTATTACATCCATATATTTGAAAAAAAGAACAAATTTAATGAATTGAACGTGTTACTCTAACAAAGATCACACAGACTGGAATTAAAGTCCTTATAAGCAATGAGAGAAACAAATCCTTTTGAAAGAATAGAGGACTCTGGGGCTACAGATTAAAAAGCAAACTGTACCTTCAGTGACTTCCCTTCAAACAAAAAATCCCTGACACATATTTACCCTCCAAAATGCAGCATCAGCAGCTCATTTGAAAAACTGCTGTTATGTAAAAGGAAACAAGAAAAACAAAAATCCCCCAAACTCAGTGCAGCACGTGTGGGGAAGAGGATTGGTTTGTTCCCTCTTAGATTCGTAGTGGTGTTTAGGTTTAAAAAACATTCATGAAACATCTACTATTTGAGCATTCTTGCTATTGGTCATGTAATTACACACGTTTTTGCAGGGCCTTACTGAAGCTCTTACCTACTTTTTAAGCAGTCACTGATTTAAAAAGAAAAAAAATGGCTATTGAAGTACTTCATCAGACCCTACTATGAGTAAAGTGAGTTTATAGCTTGACCCTTTGTTTCTTAACATCACAGAAGAGAATGGTAACTGCACCTCTTAAGAGTCAGATTACAGAAGATCTTTCATTATAACCTACTGTGCACACAGTTTCTCCAACCCCCCTTTCAGAACCAAAATTTCCTATTTTTGGACTCTCTCCATAGATGACACTGATGGGAAAACAAACCAACCTGTTTAAAAAGAAAAAAGTAAATGTAAAGAATAATAAATGTAAATGTAATTATAAAAAAACCTGTTTGGCTTCAGACTGAAAGAGGGGAAATTCAGGTTAGATATAGGGAAGAAATTCTTCCCTGTGAGGGTGGGGAGGCCCCAGCACAGGTTGCCCAGAGAAGCTGTGGCTGCCCCATCCCTGGAAGTGTCCAAAGCCAGGTTGGATGGGGCTCTGAGCAACCTGGGCTAGTGGAAGGTGTCCCTGCCCATGGTAGGGGGTTGGAATGAGATGATCTTTAAGGTCCCTTCCAACCCATGCCACTCTATGATTCTGTAAGAGCAACTTTATTTTCTTTAGTTAAAGAAAACATTCAGGTAAATCAGCTCAGTAAGAAAGGCTGAGACACAAAATCATAAATGAATACTCCTTATCCATCACAATTTCTATCCAATCTGTGAAATGTACCTCTACTATGTCCCCAATGCAAATATTCTCAGAAAAATTTCCAATAATGAACTGTGGAAAATTCCATGTTATCCCCCCAAATTTACCATCCTGTGTGTGTTTCATTGTGCCTATTTCAGCATTTCCACACAAGTACATTTAGGTTAAATGCTTCTGTTAAAAGTCTGACACATTATGAAGAGCTGGGAAGTGAAATGCATTATTTTTTGGGTCAAATGTCTTGTTTCGTGTCAACCCTGACACTACAATTAAAGATTTTTTCACATTCAAAAGCTGAATATTTTACTTTGCTTCCATCTGGTGGGTTTTTTTCCTCCCCAAATGGTGCCAGAATGAAAAATACTTTTAATGGCACAATATTAAGACACAAACCATTGTAATTTGGAGGCTCTGTAAGGATATTTATTGAGTATCTTTTAGGGACTATTGCACATACCATATCCCTCAGAGCCAGGTTAATTTAAAAACATCACAGACTAATATCCTCCCAACACAACATATATGTTAATACACAGATTATTAGGCTTTTCACACTGTAGAGTCCTGTTACTGTGCCTATAAAGAATATAAGCCATGAAAAAAAGTGTAGTTCAGCAAAATTAGTGATTACATATTAATAAACATCTTAAAGTTACAAGTTGGTGACAATATCCAATACTGTGGGGTCCTGTTACAGTGAAGTCCTATTGTCACAGAAAATGAGGAAGGTGAACTTCCCATTCTTCCTTCTCTGGAAACACTCATTATCCAACCAGAAATGTACCACTTGCTAGGAAGCTTCACACTCTGACAGTCACAGAACACGAGGAAACCACAGAGAAACCTCCTTTGCTGTTAATTCTCTTTTTCTCTTCTCCTGATTTTACCTATTCGCACTGAGAACTATTTCTAACTTTACACATTAATGCCTGCAGTTCACTTTTCCAGTTCAAACTCTTTTACCCCCCATCAGAACAGATCCTCAGGTAAACAAATATTCTTATCTGTTCTGGGGTTTTTTGGGCTAAAATAAGTCTTGTGGGAAGGATAACTTCAGGTCCAGTGCAGCTACATAAATTAGCTTGACAGCATTATCACTGGGATTTAACAAGGCTAATGTAAAATAACATTAACAAAACACTGAATACAATGCAGAGTCACACAAGATGCATTCCATCAAACCAGAAGAGGGAAACCTGCTATGATCCTGTCTAAAACAACAGTGCTTATTCCTGCATTCCCCTATCTCTGAGAGGCACTGGTAGACCTTCAGAAAGTCCCACTTCACCACCCATCCCTGCACACAGAGGGAAAAGCAGAACAAAAGCTGCCAGATGCACACCAAAAAGGAAAAGAAAGAGCAGCTGCTCCTCCAAAAGAAGGGTTAATGGAAGAAATACTGATGACACAACAAAAAGAATCTACAGGCTGGGCAGTACTTAGAAAAGTGGGGCAAGAAAATGACTTGTCAAGGTGCTGGAGCAAACCTTTTAAGTGGTATCTTTAAAAATCAGAGGCTTCCTCCATGGCTGGAGAATTCTGGCTACCAGAAAAGTCATTCACCTTCAGGCAGGAGCTGAGACATGTTCCCAGGTTGCAGAGTATTGACACAGCCTGTGTAGACACCACATCAGAGATAGGTGAAAATGTCAGGGGGTGGCTTCATCCAACTTCATCGCGCTGAGTTAATGGTCAAGCTACAGACCCACTTTCTGGTTAAATAACATCCAGAGGCTGAGACTCCTTTTGACTCAAGATAGGCACAGTTTCCAGAGCCTTTTACCTCAATTCTGGAAGGAAGAAAGACATGATTAATTTGATACCCACGATCGAATATTGTGATAGAGCAAAGGCAACTATGGGTTCTCTTGAACAAAGCTCAATTTGCCACAGGCAAGGCATCACAGGAGGATGACAGCTTGTGCTTTGAAGAGAACACCATAGGGGGGTTCCTTTTTTTAATGGGACTTTATGCCCAGAATACAAAATCTAGGCTTTGTAGTAGTCCTGAATCTTGTCTAGTGGTCACTTAATATGAAACACACCCTTAGATTGGAGACTGAAACTTGGGTTTCCCTGTCTCAAGGATGCTGTGCTATCAAGACTGGCACAAGCTTTGACTTCCACATCCTCCTATACAGCTAAAATGTTCCAGCAGAAGGTGCGAAACAAATGTATCTCTCATTTTTCTCTTCCTCAGAACAGAACAGGGCACTATGGTTCAGGGGCTAGCGGAAATCAGGAATCAAAACTCAGTTCCCACATTATAGATGCCCCTGTATAAGAGGTGAGAGACTCCTTCATCAACTCTGTTTGAAAACAAAGTGCTATAATGCTCTGTGGATAGGGCCAACCCAACTAGAATGGTCTCTGGAAAAGCCAAGGGACAAGTCCCCATGACTGTAATAACATCTGAGCATCGACATCGAGGTGTTCACCCTCCTAAAGACAGGAGGGTCAGTGTGAGGCAAGCACTGAGGCAGAAGTCTAAGAATGGGAAGAAATTCATCACTGATAATGAAAGCATCAGTGGATGTTTGTATTGCAGGCAGGGAATAAAACAGTGGGAAGGACTGCAGTTTTCAGCTCGAGATGCCCATGTGCTCCTCACATCTCACATCAAATGCCTTTATCAGATCACGCCCTTAAGTCTTGGGGATTACCCGAATATAGTCACACACCGCTAGTAATGTCACGAACTTGAAAGTATTTAAATTTTCCACTTTTTAAGTCAATTTCAGACTTGTGAAATCTCAGTGCTTATTACTATCACTGATAATTCTACCAACTCCTGCAGGTAGCTGCAGGATGAGACACAGCAGTGCCTGAGAAGAAGGGACAGCTGTCAGTGGGAGGAACAAACTGCCCCAGACCTGACACTGGTGGGACAAGGACACAGGGCCATGATCACAGAGCAGCTCCCGCAACATAAACTTACAGGTTCCCCTTTCCCTCCAGCAGCCTTTTTTTAGGAACATTCTATAAGAAAACATCTCCTAGAGGTCTCCCAAATCTCTTTGCTACAAACCTCATGTAGGTTACGTGGAGGTTTGTACTTTTGCAAAATATATAAGGAAGAATTTGCATTATTGTAACCTTCTATTCCTCCACTGGTTCCTTTGGTATCTTAGTGGTCTCTTGGTTTAACTTTCACTTTGCCATCCCGTCTGTTGCTGTGAGCGCCTATCTTATGTTCCTTCTGAACATTACAAATTTATCTTCTAACTTTCACCCCTCACACTTTTATCAATGCTATATGAAATCTTTATTGCATTCCATTCTCTCTCAATAATCATCCCTCCAACATAATGACAGATATTTCCTTCAAGTCACTGTCTACATCTGTATTAGTGCCATGGTTTGAGATACCCCAAAATCCTAATTCCCTAGCTCCATTCCCCCTCCCACATCTCAACCCAACGTGAGATGGGTTTTTCCAGACAAAACACACCAGACTCAAAGTTGGGGAAAGGGAATATATTACAATGACTGTACAAATAAATACTATAACACATTATACACATGATCACAACTATCTCTACCATGACATATAGTATTTACAATGGATCAGATCTCTTCTCCCCTCCAAATAAAAGTCCAGGAGGGAAAGAAGGACAGATCCCTTCCAGTCCCAAGCAGGAATCTCTTCTAAGGCAGCAGGTCTCCTCATCTCATGCATGCAGCAGTAACTGGATTGTTGTAGTTGGATCTCTGTTCAGTACACACAAGGGGGTCTCCAAGCCCCTCGGCTCTCCTTCGGTCCAAGCAAAGGCCTCACCTGTGGGCTGCCAGCAGGGACCAGACTCGCGTCACCACAGGTATATCACGAAATGCAGGGGCATCTTCGTGAAAGTCCCTTTCTCAGGGGATTCAATTTCCCCTTTGCAGAGCTCCGTGCTCTGTCTCCAGGTAGCGGGGGGGGGGCGAAGCCCACCTCCACATTCCTCTCCATCCCGGTCCAGCTTCCTAGGACGCTCTGAGCTTCTCAGCTCCTCTCTGCAAGTGCTGTAGCACTCCCCTTAGTAGGAGTCCATGTCCCTCCTTTCCTGGAGGTCTCAAAGGAGTTTTGGGGGGTCTGGTATCAGTTCTTACCCCCAGAACTCTGTAACTCTGCTGCTAGCTTCTGCTGCTTCTCCAGTTCAGGTCTTATCAGTTGGCTTTTAGCCATAACCTCTGGATGCTGCCGCCGCTTCTACTCTGTCTCTGCTCACTCACGATGGAAAACATCTCCCAGCTCACAGCTACAGACACATAGTCCAGCTTAACACTGTTCCAAGTCTCTGTAGCCCCCAACTGGGGCTGGGGGGCCCCAGAGGCCCCCCCAGAGGGCTTGCCCTCTCCTCATGGCTCCTACAACATGGTCACCTCACCTACTCCCCAAAACTACAACTCTTCTCTTCCATTTGCTTGTGGTATGTTTACATTTCTGCAGGAGCGCCCATTGGACAGAACTTCAAAACTTCCAGGGGTTTCCACCCCTTGGGGGTTACCACTTTTCTTAGCCTCTGGGGGAAAACAAGATCCAAACCACTACAATTAGTAATCTTTTCTTACTCCCCTATTATCTAGTACCACCAGCAAAACCTCTCGACATCAACTTACAGTTCATTGTCTAATGCTTTTCCATTCACCCAAAAGAACTCTTCATTTCTTTTATAGAGTCCAATCCATGGGTCTTGCTTTGTTATCTTCATCATAAAACTCTGTAGGAATAAACTCATATGAGAAAAGAAGTTCATGTTATGAAAATACAGTCTTTGTTGTTTGGCTTTCTAGCCCTGGATCAATCTTGCCTTTGTCTCAGAAGAAACAATATTAAAACCTAAAGGTAAAGAGTACTGGTACCTGTGATAGGGTTGACTGACCTAGAGAGAGGCTGTTTTAAAATATCAAGGACTGCCATCAGGTTTGTAATAGATATGGAAGAATATATTCTCCTAGTTTTTTGTGCAGGGTGGAATCTTTCCTAATATTGTAGTGTAATATAGAAAGAGATGCTCCAAGCAGTGGTTAGGATATCTCCTAACTCCAAAGGTCACAACTGACATATCTACTAACTTGTGCGTCATTAACCTATCTTGATATGATAAAACTGTTAATTAAAGATAAATGAGTTGCAACAGTGTTTATGCTGATATTTGCCTTCAACTTGAGTATTTATAGCTGTGAGCAGCACCAAATTTAACTCAGATAAGCCCTCAGGCACTTTTAAAAACATCAACTGATAAAACTGACTTTCTGTTTTCAGGGAGAGAAGGCAGGAAGTTTTCTGCAGGCTGTGACCCAACATGGCCTTGCATCAGCTTCCTAACTGTTCAGCTTAGGAGGCTGGAAGGACAGCTCACTTAAGGACGTGGAACAGGGTGAAATCAGGACACCCCGTTTGTTCCCTTACCAGTTCCTGATGATTCTTGATCACCAGGAGGGAAGCACCGTGCAAAGAGCAGTGGCTCTGACTGGAGTCCCAGTCGGCTTCATTCTCTGACAGGTAGTAGTAGCATTTCCTCTGGAAATACAGCCAACCTGATGGGCAGGCTTCCAGGGAAGGACAGACAGGAAAATCTTTGGCTGAAGAAAGGTTTAATGGGAAAAGACAAAAACCAATCTACCTATTTCTTCCAACAGGAAAAGGTCTCTGGAGCATTTTATTTTGCTTTGTGACTGCATCATTCCAAATAATCTCAGTCTAATCATAGCATTATTACCTCTGCTGAGCAGAAATAATTATTGTAAACTAATTGAATACTCTGGATCCTGCACCCTTATGGCTCCTGACATACCTTTAAAGGTTGGTAGAAGTAGCTGAGAGGGTGATAATAAAGTATCCTCCAAGGACTCTTCTACAACATTAATGTTTCTGACAACCACAGTTTTTGAAAGTGTTGCTTCCTCACATCTGAATTAATAGCTTTGCTTACTAGCACTCCCTAATGCCACTGCAACAAGTAGAATAATTTCTCCAGCACTTCACCATTATTTTTTAATCAACACAGAATCACAGAATGGCCTGGGTTGGAAGGGAGCTTAAAGATCATCTCGTTCCAACTCTCTGCCCCCTTCCACTAGGCCAGGTTGCTCAGAGCCCCATCCAACCTGGCTTTGGACACTTCCAGGGATGGGGCAGCCACAGCTTCTCTGGGCAACCTGTGCTGGGGCCTCCCCACCCTCACAGGGAAGAATTTCTCCCTAATATTCAATCTAAACCTGCTCTCTGTCAGTTTGAAGCCATTCCCCCTCGTTCTGTCACTCCAGGCCCTTGGAAATAGTCTCTCTCTATCTTCCTTGTGGGCTCCCTTCAGGTCCTGGAAGGCCACAATTAGGTCACCCCAAAGACTTCTCCATGTTGAAAATATGTCATGGGACATCTATTTAATTTAGAAATAAGGTGAGTTCTGAATAAACCACTTAAGGTTTGGATGGACTTTTGACAACCTAAAACTCTGGAAATTTCTATTGCTAATTATATTTTCTTTTAAAATTACTTACCAAACTGAATACACGAAATTAAAATGACAGCAGCACTAAGGACTCCAGCCACCGCTCGCTAGAGCCAGATACCGGAGAACAGATCTGAAAAAATAAATGTCATGTTTCAAAAAAGAAAATAAAACAAAAAACCCACAACCAATTTACGGAGGAGTAGAGCCCAGGACCCACAAAGCTGTTCCAAAAGCAAAAGCAGTTCCCTGTGGACAAGAGGCTGGAAACAGAGCTGAAGGATAGGAAGTCTGTTACATTTAGAACAACAAGAATTTTAATTACATCATCCAGAACTTGACTTGATAGGGAGGTGGTTCCTGACACTCCAAAGTGATCAAAAAAGAAAGAAATGAGCATGGAACAAATGAGGGTGGACAGTATGTTTGCTGTTGACCTCATGCTTAAATGTGGCATAGATAAGTGAAACAAGACAAGCCTTCAGCTCCGCAGCCCAAAACGTCTCCCGAGAAACATCCCGCCTTATCCCACAGCTTTTCAGGGTCTCTTTTTCTTCTCCGCTCCCTTCCAGGGGTTTGGAAGTGGGAAGGACACACCAACCTGCCACTGCCCTGCTTTATATCGAACCCTGCAGGCGGTAGCGGGGGACGAGGTGTCCCCCGACCGGGGAAAGCGGGAGCATCCCCGCCCCGAGACCAGCGGCTGCACCGCGGCTCATCCCCGACGGCGCGGCCGCTCCCCGGCGGCGTCCCGGCTCCCGCCCGGCTCTAGCCATGGGATCCAAGCCCGGCCCCTCTCCCTGTGCCCCATCACCTTCGCGGGATCCCGTCCCCCGCTCCGCGGAGCCGCCGCGCCCGCCGCCCCCTCGGCATTCCACGGGTGCGAAGCCGCTGCCCCGCGGGCGCGGAGATCACGGGGCCGGAACTACTCGAGCGTCTGGGGTGGGAGCAGCTGGCCGGGATCCACTTCCCTTCGTCCTGGTCCTTGCTCCGAGGGTGGGGGCAGCCGTGGGATCCACTTCCCTCGATCCCGGGATGCGCCGTCCTCCCCGAGTGCATGCATGGTCACGGTACTTAGTGCCGGAATAGTAACTCAGGAACTCCCCTGAAACAGGAAATGGGGAGTGTTTTTTAAGAGGAACTTGGCTGCAAGCAGGTCTCGCAGCGGTTGTCTCTGGCGTCAGCGAATTGCAGGACCTGACACAAAGGCAGAAAGCGGCTCTTGCTGTTTTTATTTGTTTATTTAATGTTCATTTATTTATTTTCTTCTTTTATACAGAAGAGGAGGAGGAATATGTGGAGGAGGAGAGTAAAATGAAGTATTTAAACGTTGATCCCCCTAAAACTTGAGGTCTTTGGAAAACATGGCCAATGATCTGCTTCACCCAGGGGAGTGCAAAGCCCGATGGTACTGACTTTCCAGCTGTGAGGATGAAGAAGTTACTGTGAATTTTAATTACATCATCCAGTACTTAACCTAATAACAAGGTAGTTCCTGACACTCCAAAGTGATCAAAAAAAGACAGAAATGAGCGTGGGACAGAAGTTGCATTGTTTGTAAGTGCAGACATTTCATCTGGTGTGTTTGGCACATTTAACTGCTTTACTTAAAGCAGATCTCGGCTGTGTAGCACGTTCAAACAGCCAGAGGGACACAGCTCTCTTCGAGTCATCGTGCAGGCTCTGTACGAGGCTGATAAGGAGTTCAGCCAACGGTTTATCCAAAATGAATATCCTTCTGGATCTGGAGAGAAAACCTCGAATAGAAAAGTGTGAGAGTGGAGAGTTACACTTTATGCTCTCACAGCAGTCTCCAATTTGAATATCAAGGATTCTGTGCAGTGGTCAGAAAATTATCTCCAGGTGTTTATATTTACACATAACGGAGTTTGAGCAGTGGTCAGTTGCTGGAAATTGTCTTCAGGTGTGTATATTTGCATAATAAACAATAAAGAGCCATAACAACTTCATGCTTCCATGAATATAGTTTGAATTGCAGCTGATTTTAGCCTTTGCCTGCAGCAGGTGCTCATTTAAGCAGTGGACTGGGATCGTCCATCATGCCTGGGATGGCACTTGAGAAGAAATAGAAAGGCAAAAGGGTGAAGAATAATCCAAAAGTTCTATGCAGCAAGGCTTCAAACATGGTGGCTTCGGGGAGGTCAGGGAACTGAAGATTCCTGGGAGAGGGAGGAGGTGATGGGTCCAGAGAGCACAAGCTGCAGACAGTTCAGAGTGTTTGCCAAGACATGAATCCAGAGGGGCAGAGACTGAGAGTGGGGTGTGGAATTAGGGCAGCAGAGAGGTTCAATATGCAATGGAAGATGAATGTATGAACAGCTGGTATTCTAAGAACAGGTTATTCGGCATTTATTCACTTGGAAGGAGTGGCTTTCTCTCTTACCGTTCAGTCCTGCCTGTCGCCGAGGTCAAAAATAACATTGTGGCTTATAACCGCAGAACATTCATGAGTGAGTACTCTTTTCATTCTCACCCACTGGTACAGAAGATAATTTTGGCAGCTGCAGGCAGTTCTCCAGGCTGGCAAAAACCTCTGAGAACCTGTCACATACTCAGTTGTGAATCATTTCGTTCACTGAAACTACTGTAGTTATTAACCCCAGACACTTATGGCTGAGACACTCGATCTTTACTTTCCCTGATCAGTTTGGCTGAGAGGCCCACAGACATTTTCTAAAATGAAGATTGATAAACAAGATAGGAATTTCTTAAAGGAAAAAGGCAAAAGACAAAAACAGCTCCCCAACTGAATCTCAGGAAAATTACTCTAAAATATTGCCATGTTGTATGGAGAAAGATGCAAATATTCTAAGTAGAAAGTGTAGCATTTTGTAGAAGGGGTCTCATGGGAGTGACTCAAAAAGTTAAAGTTGGATTCTGTGATACTGCCTCCTGCTTGCTGCTACCACAAATAATATTACTTTTATCACTTACTGGTCATAGAATCATGAAATGGTTTGGATTGGAATAGTCTTTAAAGAACTAGTTCCAGCCTCCCTGCCATGGGCAGGGACATCTTCCAATAGGCCAGGTTGCTCAGGCCTTGAACACTTGAAGGGATGAGGCATCCACAACTTCTTTGGGCAATCTCTGTTCACTTGCATAATGATATTGTGGCTACAGGAAGTGAAAGAAATTACCTGAGTTATAAAGGCCTGTTTCTTAGGCTGCAGTTACAGTCCAAGATGTATTTAGTCATCACTTAACTTTGAACTAAAAAGCTAAAAATTCTTCTCCAAAGAGAAAAAAACCACTTTTGAGCCTTGGCAATGTAACTGCCTGGAGGATGATGCCATAGCAGGGCATTTTCCATAGAATGAGCAATAAAATATCTCTGAAGGTCCTTGAGACAATGTGGATACAAAAGGAGTTAGGATGATCCAGAAAATCCTCATACATGGAACAGAGCTTCCTGGCTCCTTCTTATCTGACTGTATTTCAGTGCATCAGACTGGTGCCTCCTCATCCTAGAGATAAATTAGGGGGAAAAAATCTCTTACATTGAGGAAGGATTGTTCTCCCCCTCTCTCAAAGAGCTCCTGTGTTGTCAGAGGGGAGATTCATGTTGTGACTGTCCCTTAGATGGCCAGTTACACAGCCAGATAGCAAGAAAAGTGACTTAAATGCATCCAAAACATGCAATATTGTGCAAGAGTTTTGTGACTCCCAAATTAAAAACTAATAATGTAATTTTACTTTTTCCTTCCATCCCAGGAACTCCAGAGAAATGAGAGTGGTCTAATCAGAGACATCAGCATTCCAGAGGGGGCTGCCTGTCACAGTAGTTCTGGACACCTCCCTGTGCCAGGTCTGAGGGCCACTGCAAACCTTCATTTGGCCGCAGTGAGAACTTCTGAGTTGTCAACCACAAAAGAAACTGCTTCACTTCCTCTTCTTTCTCTCACACAACTGGGGTTTTCTTGGCTTATCTTGGCCTTTGATTATGGGAAATGAGGCACAGAATTCCAGAACACACCACTGGCCCACTGCAGGAGCGTCTGTAGTTACCACTGGCAGCAGGGTGTTTCAGATCTGTCGGCCCTGAATACTTACAGAATAGAAAATTGTATCTTTGAAAGAAAGAGGTCACTGGGCATTGGTATTTATTTTATTTAAAAAAATTTACTTTCTAGTATAATTTGTTCTATATCAGAAAAATGATGTCCTGCAGTAAAGACAGGAATATAGTGATCATAGAATCATGGGATGGTTTGGGTTGCAAGGACCATCCAGTTCCAACCCCCCCGGCGTGGGCAGGGACACCTTCCACTAGAGCACATTGCTCCGAGCCCCATCCAACCTGGTCTGGAACACTTCCAGGGATGGGGCAGCCACAGCTTCTCTGGACAGGGTAATTTACCCTGCTCTCAGTTGACTTTGTCAGTTCATCTTCATTTCCCTCCTCAGTCAACAGAAGAACTATTAGTGAGTTCTCTGAGGCTTTCATCAGACCTTGAGGGATTTGTACCCCAAACAAGACTTCTGATATTTTTGGGTGATGTGAGAACTCTTGTTTTGACCAGGCCCCCCAAAGCTCCCTGCTCTCTGTGTGTCTCTGTACCATAAGAATCCTGCCAGTAAATAAGGAGGAAAGTACTGAAATACTTGCTTTTTTCTTATTGCTTTTTGCTTGCTAGTCCTGAAGTTTATTTTTCATTAACCCTGTGTTCATCTGAACAAAATTACGTTTCTTTCTTATTAGTTATAAAGGTTTTGCTATTCACTGGCACAGGTTGCCCAGAGAAGCTGCCCCATCCCTGGAAGTGTTCAAGGCCAGGCTGGACGGGGCTCTGAGCAACCTGGGCTAGTGGAAGGTGCCCCTGCCCATGACAGGGGGTGGAACTGGATGATCTTTAAGGTCCCCCCCAATCCAAACCATTCTGTGATTCTATGATTCCTCTTACTTTTTGAGGTGACATATTTCCAGGATGATATTGAGAGGTTCCTGCAATTCTCAAAGTGAAATTGTTAGACTGGAAAGACAAATGCATTTTCTTATCTATTAATTTGGAAGCGTTTCTGTTGAATAACATGAAACTAGTCAGATTAATAAAAATAATGAAGAAAATATCCATGTGTTATCAATGAAATGAAATGAAATGAAATAAAATGGTGAAGGATGAATGTAGCCGAAATAACACTGAGCAGCTTATGAGACATCACATGTGCTTAGTAGTTTTGAATATTAAAAAATTTGGTCTCCTTTAGAAAGTATTTAACAGAGGTATTAACAAATTGTATTTACTGCAGAACTTAGGTTAGTGTTTGAGAAGAACTAAACATTTTATGAAAGTGAGCCAACTAAGCCTTTTACACTAAAAAGCCTCTGCCACAGAAGTCTTGCAAAACATTGTTTTGGAATGTTTGGAATAGGAGGCACAAGAGAAAAGAATTCAGCTGCTTTATCAGCTGCATTTTTATTTTTGGTAAGGCCCGCATTCAATAGGATTGCTCTTTACTTGTTCATATCACCTGTGTGTTGTTATTATTGAGTAGAAGACATAGCTGTCATCCTCCAGAAATTACATTCTTAGCACTGAAAATTACTTGAGGGAGGACAGGAATAAGAAGGGAGGGTTGGAATATGGAGTTATGGAATATGGAACACCACAGTGTTGTAACAACATGAAAATAATACTAGTAAGCTGAATAAAAAGAGAAAAATGTAAAAATGAGCATGACAGGGAGGTTAAACCTCAGATGGAAATCTCAGATGATATAAAGGTACTTAATTACCTTTATCTCCAGAACCTGATGGTCTGGTCATAATAAAGATTAGTAGATGTACTTTCTGTAAATGTTATCTTCCAGTATTGTCCCTATATTTCTTTATAGATAATATGTGTTTCACCATAGAGCAACCAGCACGTTCAGCACCTTG